AATTAATGTGGAAATTTATCGATTAAAGAAAAAATATTTTTCTGAAAAAATCAGGAATGATAATTGAAAAAATTATTTTCAATCGTTTATGATTCAAATCTATCATTTAATATAAATAAAAAAAAAGTTCATATATAATTAAAATGATAAAAAAAATAATGATTTGTATTAAAAAAAATAAAGGAAGTTATATATGTGTGTTTAGTGAGAAATATAAAAAAAAGAATTTAAGCCTATTTATTATATATATTGATTGAGCTGTATTATTCTTTATAAATATGAACAAATGCATAAAATTTAACAGAATTGAGGAAAGTGAAACATTATATCTATGAAAGGAATATGCACATTATTAATTAATTACAAATTCTAAATTTTAAAGATGATTAAAATCTTTCATAAGTAATAAATATCAATTGTTATTTAAATGTTTGCCCACAAAAAATAAAAATAAAAACAGCCTTTTAATGTGTGTGTGTATATATATATAAAGTTCTTTGATTTAAAATTTGACAATTTTTTTTTACAACAACTAGCATCACACATATGTTGGTGCTAACTATATTTTTTACAATACAACAGTATTCAATTTTGAATGTCTACCTGAAATTCCCATCGACTATCTAATAATCCCTGAGCGGTATCCGCCAACAACACCTCCCTTCGACTTCCAACATATACTGTTTTATTTAGTACTTGTTGTTTTAATTCACCAATCTTATCAGGTTCAATAGGTTTCTCTAATAATTCTGAAAGCTGTTCAACTGCTACTTCAAGATCGCGTTGATTATCCTCAAAAATTTCTGTTTCATTATTACGTATTAGATAAAAAGCAAAAGCATATGTCCATTTAAGAGTCATACGACATTGGACAAGAATATCAACAGCTTTCTTCAAAAATTGTACTTCAATCCAAGATAAATCAGAAGTTTGTTGCATTTCTTCCATTTTCTTTTCAGTCTTGTTATATAGTTCACGATCAAGTTTAGCAGATTCCACATGATTAGCAAAACGGTTATAATACTACAATCTCGTACATAAAAATAACAAAAAAAAAAACAGATAATTAGTAATTATAAATAAATTCATATTTACATCCGTACTCATATTCATATTAAAATGTATACATACATGAAGATACCTCTCAAGAGATGAACGAGATTTAGCTTGTGAATCCCTTGCATCAACACTATTTTTTTCATCATAACGATTACAATTATACCAACTAGTTCCATGCTCTGACCAAGGACCCATACAAACCCAACAGAATTCATATTTGCATTTACGACAAGTCATATGATTACAACCACCATTCTTTTCAATTGTTGACTGACACTTTCCACATTCTTTTGTATGAGCAGAAATCCAATTTGCTGTCTCTGAATCATCCTCGCATTTTTTAATCCATTTTTTAACAAGCATGCAAATAGATGGTTGATGGTCTGGTAAGCCACAACCAAAACAAAAACGATTACAACATGCACATTCTACTGTAGGAACAATGCTAGTAAGTGATGTTTGTGGAACGTGGCATTCAACCGCATATTCACAACTTGGTGCTGGGCACCAACGTAAACTTTCACTATCATCAACATATGTTCGATTTAGTAAAGTTCGATATCTATCATTAAAAATTTAAATTTTTTTTAATTACTACAAATTTAATAATAATAATAATGATAACAATGATAATTAATGATTACAATTTACCTTT